TTCCTTAAAAGATTCAAAGCAACCAAGTCATCACCTTCCCCATAGTAACAGAGTGCCAGGGTGCAATATCTTTCTTGTCTTCCCATAATTCCAGGAATCAATTCTTCAATCTGATGGGCTAGGGCCCTTATTTTCCCTGAAATGGACAAGGCAAAAGAAAGATGATCAAGGATTGATGGGTCCCATTCAATCCTTCCAGCAACAAATTTCCTTAGAAGAATCAATAACAGCAGAACAGCCTCTTCTATGTTGTTTCTTGGCACAAAGGAGCTTTCCATCTGTGAACGTAGATTTGGAGGGTTTGCATCACAACCACTGTACAGAAGAAAAACTGCAAATTCTTTTTCGATCTTTGAAGTAACTTCAATGTCAAGATTCCAATGATAGAGGAGAGCCTGCCGGTATGATAAGATGGCTTCCTGGGGAGCCCCAGCAAGTATCCACAACTCTGGAAGTAACTCAACCGCTTTGCCTACAGTCTCTTGCAACTTACAATCAGAAGCAAAGTTTTCAGGCAAGCCTTCTGGTAATGCAGATTCCACAGTATCCAAAATAAGTTTGCATGATTGAGCAGCTTCTGCAAAATGGGTCAGCAAGTAAAATTAGCCCTGCAGAAATTATTATGAAAATGTACTTTCTCAATAATCTTCAAAGTTCATAAATTTGTATGTATAAAGCTCAGCAGACGCAGCCAAATTATGTAATGTATCAAAACACATGTAAGAATTTCAGTTTTGGTTTGAAATGTAATTGTGTGATTGACTATAGCTATATCCTTTATAAACTACCTATAATTCTAGAAGCAAAAGGATGTTCCCTGGTTCATTCAAATCTCATGAGATGAATACATCCTAGACAAGACGCAAGAAAGTCACAAAAGTATGAATACATATATACATATATAAGACAGTCAGGAATTCGAAAGTGAACAGGAGATGGAAGGAATACCTCCAAACCGTCCAAGACCCTGTAACGACTTTGCTTTAAGAAAAATAGCTTCAAGGAGTAAACTAACAGCATGCATAGACATGGGTGGGACAGCATCACTTTGAGAACGACGTCTGTTGGGCTCGCATCTTCTAGAAATGGAGACTTTCATCTTGGGAATCACAGCAGCAATGTCTATTCCTTCAAATACATGAAGAGCAGCTTCTGTGTTACCTTTTTGATACTCAAGCCTTCCTAATAGAGCTCTTGCTTCCTATAAAATATGCAAATCTCTCAGCTTTAATAATTATCTGAATATGGAAGATCCAAGCAAACCACAGTAGCATATAACTGTAACAACGCAGATGATCCGATATGAAGTCATTTTGGGAAATCCTAAGAATCTCCTATTATAGAAAAGTGTTAGAGACTCCAATCAAGAGGAAAATTGGCCTAATTCTTTAACCTCGATCAGTGTCACTGTTGAGTGCCCCATGATAATAATCATCCAAAACTAGTGATTTTTTGAAATCAGTGAAAGTCAATAAGTCACTGCTTCAAAATGTCCTGCCATTCAAGGTCCTGGTTCTCAGAAAAGAAAAAAGAAAATTACAAAATAACTAGTAAACCAGTGCATCACTAAAGCCATTGATTTATCACAAACATCAACCATGCCTTCACAATTGATGTCATCTGTGTAATCCCTTCATAAACATTTCATCACAGGTGGAGCTTGCAGTGCATATTCATGGACTATAACAAATCTATCATACCGTCTTTGGAATTTTTTTAAAGCTAACTTCCAATTTCATCTAAATGTCAAGCAATGGCACTCAGGATTTTGTCAAAATTGGAATTATGTACTTGAATTATTTACTGCATTTCCGGATATCTAATTTCGCTGAAGATGATTCTAAATTAGGAACTCATTTGAGTTATATAGTATATAGTAAAACAGCTAATAACCTTAAATTAACCATTAGAAGGATAAACTCAAAGAAACAGTCCCAAAATATGAGTTGCTACCCGCTCCGAGCATGTGATGAAGATATTCAGATTCTCTCAAGACTTAAAGTTGTTCAACTTATTCAATAAGGGTTTACATACAAGGGAGTAAAACAAAAGCCAACAAGAAAGTAAGAGTTATGCAAAACTTATTGCAACCAACCTCATAGTTGAGATAACCACTCTCACGCAAAGAAGACTCAGCTTCTTCAATATTGCTATTATCCACCTTTGTTTCAATCTCACCTGCTCGACCGGAGTAGCCACCACTAGCTGAATAGTCCCGAGTTGCCAGGGAGTCAGATGAATGAGCAATTTCATCTACCCTTAATTGCTCCCCTGAACGCATACACTTGAGCATCTTATGCAACCTCCCTTTAATGCTGAATCTTCTCTTATTCATCCACTTTTTAGTTCTCATACCGGATCATTCCAATTGAGCTGTTTCCAAATTAGCACCAACAACAAAAATTGAAAGAAATGAGAAAAGCAGAGCTCTTCAAAGAACATACATGACAGAGCAGCCCTAGTAGGTCATATATTCTTAGATCATGATCAGAAACACAACCATTGACACTATAAACACATTGTTTACTCAAAAATTCGGATTCCCAGAAAACAAAATTCCAAGCTTTCCACTCAAATGGAAAATTCACATAGTATTCTGGAAACCCACTTCATAGACTCCAACAACCACCAATTGCAAACACTAATCACCCCACCAGCTCATTAAAGATGAAAAAACAAAGGAAGATTTAAAATGCAGAAATACTTAAAACCCAGTTTCAATTCAGCACGCCCAACACCACAGTCAGAGAAAACACAATGATTTTGGAACATAAAGTTGAAGTAAGAGAAAACCCCATCAAAGCATAAAAACCGCTGAGATCAAAACACCTTCCAAGAAAGTACCTTTTGGTTGGCAAAAAGCATTGACTGAGCCCACAAGCCATCAACTTCCCCATGCATCTCTTTCCAATTCATCCAAGGAAAGGTCAGTTGGACTTCTCCTGTTACCCAAGAATCCAAGGCAACAATAACCCTTTTTTTTCCCTTCTTTTATTCTTTTTCTCAGGAAAGTCTTGTATATTGCTTTGTATGTGTTGCTTGATATATTCCTAACAGCTCTGGAGCTCAGAGTTTGTTGCATTAAATTATGAAATCTAACCCCCTGAGTCTTCATTCAAAGGTGTGAACAGAGGGAAGATTTTGGGCACCTGTTAATCACTTCAAAACGTATAATTATATCCTTCTAATTTATAATAATAATAATAATATAATTCATTATTAAATTAAATTTAAGAAATGCCAGGCTACTCGAAAGGAAATGCCCCGGGCCCACTTTGAAAATGAACCCCATTCCACTTTATATTTGGTCAACTGCCGGCCCCAGCAAGGTAATTTCCCTCTCTGTCTGTCAAGCATTTTGCCCACTTGCATGTATTGGGTAGCTACCATTTTTCCCTATGTTTAACCCTTTTAGGTGATTTTCTTCTTCTTTCTTCTTTTTATTATTTTTTTTTTTTTTTTGGTTGGGTCGGAGCCTTTAGATGATTGAAACGATGACTCTATTTTATTTTATTTTGTAAGAATTTCTTGTACTTTAGATTGAAGTTGTTTTCTATTGTTTTTGTTTTTAACTAAGGGCTCGTTTGGGAGTGACTATGAGAGGGCCAAAATCACTTCATATTGAGTATGATCACATTTGCTTAAAAAATAGGGTGTTTGGCAAAAATTTAAAAGCGCTTAAAATAGATATTAAAATCACTTAAAATGATTTTAGGGAGAAGTACATGGGAGGTGCTTTTCCCTGGAAGTGATTTTTTCAAAAAATCGGGAATCACTTGATTCCTTTTAATGAAAATTTTGCAATACCAATATTATCCCTATTAATTTTACAATATGGCCAAAAAGCCTAACCCTGCAATTTTTAAACAATCCACACGTTTCAACCACCCTAATTATCATGTCTTTGTCCTTGCCTCTATTCTTTCTCTGCAAAAGCTTCTTGCTCCCCCCTCTCTCGCTACAATCTCTGCAAGTAAGGCTATCATTCTTTAAGGAAAATTCTCTATGTTCTCACTATATTTGTTTATGTACTTCTATATTTATCTTGATAATTTTTTATTTTAGCTTTTCTTTTTTAGCATATAGTACTATGAAATTCTCATGCTTCTTGATTCATATATCACTACTAGTTATTTGTAAAAATATTATCAAAATCAGAAATTGAATTTATGTGTGAGAGAGAGAGAGAGAGAGAGAGAGAGAGAGAGAAGGGTCAAAGCTAGCGTAGCAGTTGGCTATACTATTTCAATGCTATTATAAACACCTTCTTTTGCAATAATCGATAGAAATAGAAAGAGTTGTTTCGTATTGCAATCTGTTTAGATGGGTTAGTTTGCAATTTTAGGTTATATAAATGTGTTTTGAGCTCCCTTCCCCACATCAGACATAAGAATATGACATAGATGAACATGTAAAGCAATCTTCATTCCACATTGATGTCAATGTCATGTGGTTGCCATATAGAAATTAAGAGAGGAAGAGAGACACATATAGACACATAGATATTAAGAAAAAACTATTGAATTTTAATGATGATTTGAATAACACAAAACCTATACATGCTTAGAGACATGAACACTTACCAGAACTGTTGGTTTATGTATTAATGCTTAGTTTCAATTTGTTGTTTTGTCTGAGCACTTTTTCTGATGCAAACGTTTTCATGTTGTGTGAAAGTGCACCCCCATTTCATCTTTGATACTAGCTTCTGTTTTTTTTTTCCTTTTGTTTGTGCTTTGTCTTATATACTTGTATGTTAAGCCAAACTTCTTGTTATACTGTACAATCATCATTATTTTTTTTTTCTTTGTCCAATTTGTTTATTAGAAAATGTCTAACAATATAGTTAACCCATCCCAAAATGAAAGTCGGGAAGAAAAATAAAAACAAGAGAAAGCAAAATGGGATGACAAGGGAACTGAGGTTTTCAAGAAAAGTTCCAGAATTCAGGGGGGACTGTGTCAAGGTGGTTTGGGATAATATTAGAAGCTATATCTCGAATGGCTGCTGATCTCATAAGTCCTAGTGATCCTGAATTCAAGAGAGTTCCGAAGAAAATTAAAGATGGTAATCGATATTGGCCATACTTTAAAAATTGCATCGGGGCAATTGATGGAACACATGTACCAGTTGTTGTGCCTAGAGAAAGGCAAGTACCTTATATTGGCAGAAAAGGCATCACTACCCAAAATATCATGGTTGTATGTGAATTTAATATGTGCTTTACATTTGCTTGGGCTGCATGGGAGGGTTCTGCTCACGATGCACGTATATTCATGGATGCCTTAAGAATTCCAACACTGAAATTTCCACGTCCACCTACTGGTTAGTAATGTCATCAAGTTCAATATTTTCCTTTACTATTTCACCTTGGATATGTTTCTTTTATCAAATATAGCAAATAATACTAATATTGTTATTGATTCACATGTATAGGTAAATATTATCTAGTTGATGCTGGCTATTCACAAATGAAATGATATTTAGGCCCTTATAGGGGTGAGCGATATCATCTTCCGGATTTCCGACGAGGAAGCCAATCAAGAGGGAAAAAAGAAATATTCAATCATAGGCATTCATCTCTAAGATGCACAATTGAAAGAACATTTGGTGTTTGGAAAAAGTGATGGAGAATGGTATGTCAAATTCATAATTTTCCTTTGGAAAAATAAATACAAGTCATTGTCGCTTCAATGGCTCTCCATAACTTCATAAGAATTCATTCAATGACGGATGTAGAGTTCCAACCATATGATGATGATGAAGAGTTACTTCCCCAAACAGATGATGGAAGGACTAGTACGGAAGAGACTATTGTACAAGAAAATGTAACTCGTGCACGAGAGATGGATGACAAACGCGAGAGAATTGCAAATCTTCTTTGTCTACTTGATATTTGTGTCAAGTAATTCATGTTTCTTTTTCAAGAAGTATGATTTGAAGCTATAGATTTTCAATTTTCGTTTAAGAATGCCCAAGATTTAATATTATGTGATTGGTTATCAATTTTAAAATGTTTGATTATGAAAATACCAAAAAAAGGCAAAAAAATCACTTTTTTCTTTGGGAAGCCAAATGCTACGAATAACATCAAAATCACTTTTTTACAATATAAAAGCACTTTTATGTTGGTAGCCAAACAATAAATTGATTTTGCGGAAAAGCGCTACTAACATAAAGTGATTATGTTAAAATCACTAATGAGTAAAATCGCTTCTACGTAATCACTCCCAAACGAGCCCTAATTCAACATAGGTGATTTTTTAACAACGCATATGGCCTTATATCTTCCCTCATCTCTGTCAACCACCCCCTATAGAACCCAACTTTATTTCAAACAATTTTTTGAACTCTCTCACATAATTAATGAAAAAAACTTGTGTAGGTACGAGTGACATGTATTGTTCATTCAAAACATTTATGTTGCACAGACACAATTATGGGGACACGAAAACACGACACAATGACACGAAAAATTTCAAAAAATTAAGACACGGACACGGAAATTAAAATAATAATAAATTCTAATAAAATTCTAATAGTATATACTTATATATATATTTTATAAAAAATTCATACTCAATACTTCAATGTCATGATACCATAAAACAGATTCATACTTAGAGTGATGTTAGGAAACCCCAACTTTTTTTTTCTTTTTTTTTTGTAATACTATCCGATTTTTAAACAAGGAACCATGTTGGTATAGTAGTAAGAGATTGAGTATTTGAGTTGGAGGTCCGGGTCAAAAAACCGCCCCATAAGTGACTGACATCGAAATGGTCGGTTTTTCAGGTTAAAAAATAGGGTCAGGTCGGCCTATTTGTCAGTTTTTCGGGTGAAAATCTCAGCCCTATAAATTAAGTAGGTAAAACTTTTGAATTATTACTGGGAAAATTATGTATGGGAAAAAGGGAAACTGAAAATATCAAACTATTCTTCCCATCCGCTATTATTCTAATAATACCCCATTTTTCCCAGCCCGTCTAACCCGAATGCACTAAGCTCTCTAATCTTATTAATAAGATGGCTGGCTGCCAACATGGACACATCACTTGAAAGCCCTAAACCCTAGAATGAGCCAGACATGATGAGTTTCTTTTGTTTTTCGTACGTATATCTTCCTACTTGCTTTGGCCTCAATGGAGTTTCATTGGAATGGTTATTGGCCTGCCCTAAACCCTAGAATGAGCCAGACATGATGAGTTTCTTTTGTTTTTCGTACGTATATCTTCCTACTTGAATTGGCCTCAATGGAGTTTCATTGGAATGGTTATTGGCCTCATTATGTCTGCCAAACACCCAACCAGATTAGAACGTGACCTAAATATGGTATGCATAAACAAAGATATTTATAATATATAAAAATTATAGCGGGTTGGAAAATAATAATTACAGGTGAGAATAGGCACCCCTCATAATATTGGAGTTGAGCTCAAATTCAATAAACGCGTTTTATTGACACTTGCAAAATAGTTATTCTATAAATCAGTAGGTAGTCGAAACCCAAGTCTTCTTTCAACTAGGAGAAGATATTGTACCCATATTCGGCATTATGGTTGCTTTGTACTTTGTGCTGTTTCATCAATAATTATTATCATTTTTTCTCAATTAAAAAAATAATAAATATTCTACACTATTGTACTAGTAAGATAAAACATTGGAACGCAAATTTTCTCTCAGCATAAAAAAAATAAATATTCTACAGTATTGTGCAGCAGACAAATGCATATGCAAAAGGTCTCACTCACTCACTCTATAGTTTTTTCTTTCTCCTTATAACACTGTCTGTTGTAGTGCACCTTTTCCAAATCCACCACCAGCACCGCTGTGAACTCCACCATATACACCACCATGGAATCCACCATGCTTGCCACCACTAGCTCTTCCTCCACCACGACCACCAACCCCACCCCCCTTGAGAATGCGTCGTCCTTTTCCAAAGCCACCACCGCGTACCCCGCCACTTTTACCAATGCCACCACCAAGACCACTCCCAACACCACTACCAACGACGCCTCCAAAACCACCACCTTCACCGCCAAATCCCCCTCCCTTCCCAAAAGCTAAGTTCTTTCCCTCCTCGTCATGCCGCACACTCACTATATTCCTCGCAACCACACTCGCTGCAAGGATTTGAATGCAAAACAAAGAAAACAAAAGCCTCCAAGCGCTTCCCATTATCAAAATAAAATATTCTTTTAGATGGCTGAGCTAAAACACAATTTCAATTGGTTTGGTGGTATATTTGGAGAATTTTCTGTATTGTATTCTTCTCTATAATGAGGTTTATATAGCGTTTACATGTGTAAGAAAAAAGGAAAGTACGAAAGTCCTAATTGTAGAAGGAATTGTTAACTACACAACTAGGAAGTAAATCTTCTAAACCCTAAGCGTAAGGGGAAACTATGGACCGAATTCCATTTCCTATCTAATTATTTCAAAGAAAAATAAAACTAATAATGAAACTTAACAGAAAAAAATAGAAATTTATAACCATTCCAGTTTAGACTACTACTATTATAAGAGCATCTACAATTGTTAGGATTAATGCAAATTGCATGAAATTGAACTAAAATAGTAAACTTTCACTTGCAATTGTGTGATTTAGTTCACTGCAATAGATGCAATTGCAACAAAGGGTGCTATGTGATGAATCCTCTATAAACTAATTTTGGGACCCACATGCCAATAAAAAAATAGAAAAAATACAGCAATTATAATGCATTATGTTGTTAAGAGTATCCCCAATGGTTGTTCAATAGTTCAATGCAATAGAAAAATTACAACAATTAATTTTTTTCATATATATTCAAAATTAGTCTCTTTTTAAAGATCTCTTTGAGAATATTTCAATGGTACAATTTTTTAGTGTTATTAAATTTATCCCTTTTATTGTATTTGAGTATGTAAAAAAAAACATGTAAGTAAATAAAACTATTGATATGAAGCTATTTGAACTGTACCATTGTAAGTAAAACTGCAATTCAATTCAATATATGTCAAAATAGTTCAATTTATTGAATTATTGCATTGAACTATTGAACTACCATTGTGGATGTTCTAAAGAAACTCAAAACGATTTATATATTTTTTATCAAGTGAGATTTTCATTAAAAGGCCAGAAAAGGCATCGGAACACAAACAGAAGTAAGCAAACGAAAGAACAAAATACCATCACAAATCAGCTCAGTGCTCACCAGCCTATGAAAAAAAACAGAAAAGAAACTGGAGAAGAAGGGAAAAACTGGCTCCGCAAAGACAGCCGTGTAATATATATTCAACCTTTCAAACCTTTTACTTTGTCCAAAGATGATCCAGTACTATTAATTAATTGATTAATTAACTAGTAAAATTTACTATTAATCCTGCGCTAAAAGTTTGTCCAGACACAGAATAAATAATACTCCTTCAATTTCAGAAATAATAATGTACACTGATATATAAGATTGCTTCAACAAAAAAACAAAGAAATAAGATTACTTCTAAATATTAATTGTTTAACACAAAATTAATGGAAGGCGGTACTACCAGAAATAGAACATTATCAGGACCGCCACCACCCTTTCCGAAGCCACCGCCAGCACCCC